TAGGAAGCAATATGCATCTGGCTATCAGGACTGTGTCAAATACATAGGTAAAAGAAAAATTAATCTAGCTGTTTAATCACCTATAATCTAGACAGATAAACTTTATTTACTCTGTCATGCTTGAAAATTGACCATAGTACCTATTTGCTCTAAAACTTTGAACTAGTACCAGCGACAGTTAATAAATATGTAGGTATATGGATTGACAAACTGAATTTTTAGCTGAACTCTGAACCAAGCATCAAAAATTTTCTGTGATTTTAATACCTACAATAATATTTTTCAGTAGAAGTACCAGTAACAGTGACAATGTTTTTCTTAATGAGAATATTGGCTGTGTAGTACCTTAGACTGTCAGATTTAACCAGGTAAAATGACTGCCTAACAATTGAATAAACAATGAACTGTATGTTCCTGACTTCTTCTGATTAGAACAGGAAGTACCAGTGTGTTATGTTTAGATTATTTCCTCATGACTTATGCATGCTGATCTGTTATGCTTTTTTCCATGAATAATAAAATTCACTTTACTATTCTAGGAAGCTTTTTCATTTCTTTTCCCTAGCCAAAACCAAACATACTGGAAATCATATTAATGTGATCACTTTTCATGCTTACATTCAGAATTTTTTTAGAAGTGAATGAATATATCTTGTATTAAAAACAACTGGCTTTTCTCAGACTGTCTTGATGCTACTGACAAAATACTTCCCAACCTATCAAGTATAAACTAAGAGATTCCCCTATTAATGAATTAGCCTCTCAAATAGCCTGCAATTTTATTTATTTTTTAAATGAATTTTGGGGTCTTGCAACCTTTACTCATAGCCTTCAAATCCAATGCGGAGTGGTTCCCTCAGATAATAGAAATCTGTGACATTTCTCAAGGAGCTTTGCTAATTTCCTTGACTTTCGTATTAGCTGGTTCAGCAAGTACTGGATCTATTTTTTATTCTTTGCTGTCTTCCAGACCCTCAGTCACAGGGAGCATCCACTCTAAACCACTGACTTTGCCATTGGCTGTCTGGGACTATGATATGGGAGATTTAAGGAATGAAAGCACACTTTTAAGCTGTGCATATCCAGGCCCTTTTCACTAGTAATTATGGTGATTCCCTCTGATTTTGGGAGATAAAAGGAAGCAGGAAGAGATGCTGCCCTTTAATTTCCTTTTGCTGAAGGAACTTTTGACATTCTTACCGAAGTTTTCATCCTAGAACACCATCCTGCTGCCTGGAATACCTACTCTGAGTGCTTCCTTACCTAGCAGCAGTTCTTTGGTGAGAAGGGATTCCTGAGACTGAATTTCAGTGTTAAGAGGAATTTCGTACCTTCTTCATTGGTCCATCTTCATTGCTGGATGAGAAGAAGAGGAAAGGGAACATATGCTCCAGCAGCTAGTATAAGCAGTGGACACAACCTGGTACCAACTGCTGTGTTTGATGATAGGAACTGAGTTCCCTTCCAGTATTTATGGTTATTTTGATTTCCTGTGAAGGGTAGTGGCTTCATAGCTGCTTCACGTGTGTTCCCTGTCTTGGCCGTGGGCTGTATGGTGTGGTCACAGTCTTCATCACATCTATTGCATTATGCTTTAGTGTGTAAGAAGTGAAGTGTATTTAGAATACCTTGCTCTGATTTTTCAGTTTCTTACTGGGCAAATGTTTTTCCCATGCACAAAAAAGCAACTACATAGGCCACATAAGATAATCATAGAAATCACAATAGGTGTAGTAGCTGTAGTTACAATCTTCATATTTAAGTGATCAAAATTGAGAAAAGGTTTAGAAATATGTCTTAGTTTCTTATATACAGACTTATGAAAAGTAAATTGCAGAGAAAATTAATATGGTTGAAGAGGTCCAGTAACTCATACCTAAGGGAAATGTTTGTCTGTTCTGCTCTTAATAATACTGCCAACTCTGCAGTGAAACAGTGAGCTTTGCTCAGAGTTTCTTGTAACACAATAGAGTTAGGTGTAATAATTTTCTGAGACTTGAGTACTGTTTAAGACTTTGTTAAACTTTTTACCATATTCAGAAATAACCTCACAAGTTTGGGGTTTTCTTTCTTTCTTTCTTTCTTTCTTTCTTCCTTCCTTCCTTCCTTCCTTCCTTCCTACCTTCCTTCCTTCCTTCCTTCCTTCCTACCTTCCTTCCTTCCTTCCTTCCTTCCTACCTTCCTTCCTTCCTTCCTTCCTTCCTACCTTCCTTCCTTCCTTCCTTCCTTCCTACCTTCCTTCCTTCCTTCCTTCCTTCCTACCTTCCTTCCTTCCTTCCTTCCTTCCTACCTTCCTTCCTTCCTTCCTTCCTTCCTACCTTCCTTCCTTCCTTCCTTCCTTCCTACCTTCCTTCCTTCCTTCCTTCCTTCCTACCTTCCTTCCTTCCTTCCTTCCTTCCTACCTTCCTTCCTTCCTTCCTTCCTTCCTACCTTCCTTCCTTCCTTCCTTCCTTCCTACCTTCCTTCCTTCCTTCCTTCCTTCCTACCTTCCTTCCTTCCTTCCTTCCTTCCTACCTTCCTTCCTTCCTTCCTTCCTTCCTACCTTCCTTCCTTCCTTCCTTCCTTCCTACCTTCCTTCCTTCCTTCCTTCCTTCCTACCTTCCTTCCTTCCTTCCTTCCTTCCTTCCTTCCTTTTCCTTTTTTCTTCTGCCATTTATCCTTTGGAAATCATCATTATACAGTGAAAGCAGATAGGAAACTTACTCTTCTTGTCAACCTCCAATTGTGTATGGCAGTCTAAAACATGTATCTGAATGTATTCATTGAAACGTGGTATTTAAGGGCTAAGAAGTCACTGACATTTTTAACTAAATTTAGAGTTTCAGCCTAAATAGCAGAAATAATATCTAAACTGGGCAATTAGGGTTTACCTATAGACTCTATCTCACTGTAAGTACTTCTTTGCTCACATCTATTGCATGCAATGTTGTTGCAGGTTCATTTTTTACATGTATATTTCTATATATCCCTTCTCACATCTTTCCAGCCTTTTAAGAACTGCCAGATTTACATGTTGCTATTTCAACAAATGTTACTAGTTTACACATTTGAGATAATAGGCTTGCCTTGCATTTAAGGAATATTCTTCCAATGATCCTGTTCATATTTTTAATCTATTCATGATCTCAGAAAAATTGAGATGGGGTGACCTAGACAAGTCCTCTATTTTACCTCTCCAATGAAATTAGTGATAGTATGCTTGTATCAGTTTTGACAGATGTCTGTTGAGTGACCTCCAGCAATGGACACTGTACAGCCTCCCCATATAATGCTTAATAAACTGAATAGATGCAAGACAAGCCATTTTTTCTGTGAATTCCTTGTTCACAGCAGGCACAAAATACACCATATTTCTTCCTGTCATATCTCTATACTTTTTATGATTTGAATGCTGTTCTGTCAGTCTCCAGTTTTCTTCATAGACTAAGAAACCCCAGCTGCTTCTTATCCTTATGTAATATTCTGTAGCTATTGACCATTTTTATTGCCATCTTCTGCAGTCTCCTCAGCTGATCTGTCTTCTGCACCTTCCAGTGTAGTCCCCATTTTGCTCATATGTATGCTATTGTTGACTGTTCCTTTGAAGAACTGCCCACTGATCTGTTATCATGTAGGTCAATAATTCTTGCCAGAAAACCTAATCTCATTAGTTATTTTCTCAAACAGTTCCTCCAATGCATAAAAATGTTTCTGAATGTTTAAATTTAACTTTACTCTCAGGTGAAATGCTGTAGAGTGAGAGCACCCACAGGTCATGATAGAACACTAACATTTATGTCCAGTTTCTGAAGATAAGAAATGCTACCTGTTTTTAGAGTGTGAAACTAGATTGTGAATTCCCAGACTAAATAAATCACCCCACACCTTGTGTTTCACTCTTCCTGTTTTTCTTCTTTCAGGCTGCACAAACCAAATGTTACCAGCTTTTTCTCACTTCTTGCTTTATCTGATAGAAATACAGCCAATATTTCCTATTTTGAGCATTAAAAAACTGCAAGGAGGCTACTTGTTTCCTTGCAGACATTATTGCCTCAGCGTGGCTCTTTTCAAAGAAGTATATATAATGATCTCATTATGTGTGTTGTTATGCTAGGTACTATGCAAAGAATAACTGAAAGGATGGTTCTTACTACATAGATGTTAAAGTTTAAGGTTATTGGTTTTTCTTTCCTTTGAGAGACCAGTGCTCTTCTAAATCTGCTGCTTATTCATAATCTGTTGTCTTCAGGTTATTTTGTAAAACAAGATGTGGCCCATTCTTTTCCCTGTTATCCAACTTAACAATTGTGGTGTGAGAAGGGTTGATGTTACATCATCCTTACAGGGCAAATTATTCCTGTACTGACTAAACAAGACATTTGTATTCTCCATTGCCTTCCCTTCTTCTTGCTTCTCTGGAAAGTAATCTCTCTTCACACTCCTACGTCAATTTATTCAAATACATTGGAGCACACTGTTGATTTGACAGAACATTTCCTTTAATTCTGCCTGTAATTCCCAGGAAAAAGTAAGACTGAAATCCTGTAAAGGGGGTGTGCACTACTATCCATGAATTCTGTGGTAGCATCTGCCATTGTCATGCGGTCCAGCCTGAGATGGTTTCAGCAAAACTCAAGGAAGATGACAGGCATAAAAAAGCAACCTCTCCTCCCAAAAAAACCACAAAAACAAACAAACAAAACCCCCCAGAAAACAACCCAACCCAAACAAACAAAAAAAATTAACTCCAAAACAAACAACCTAACAAAAAACTACAATTAAAAAAATGTCAAAAACATCTAGCTAGATGAAGAAGCACACCACCTCTGTGTTACAGCTCCAGATTCACTGTGGACCCAAAGGTGTTTATAGCCCAAATATTTACTTTCTGTAGTCCCAGAACTTGAATTCTGCATTTTATCTTAATATATTTAAAAAACAAACAAACAAACAAAACCCAACTCAAACTAACAAACTCAACATTTTTGGGTGTATTTTGGAAGTCTTCTTTTATTCCCCCTTGGTTACTTTTTTTTTTTTTTCCCTCCACTTGCATTTACAAAGCAATTATTAAGTTTGCATTGCCTATCAAAGATGCATAAAAAGTAATTTGGATACCAACTGCAGTGATGGTTGTATGACAGCCTGGACATGCTCTTAGGAGTTCAGTTGGAAACTAGAATAACTTGGTAACTGATAGCATGAAAATCTTGTTGCCTGGACATGCATTTTTTGCTTCTGGTTAGATTAAAGTCAATTTGTATTATAGCCATATTCCTTGCTCTAGATGGTGTGTTGTATGATGTTTTGGTCAAGCTTCTACACAGCAGCTGACCCAGAGCAAGTTATTAGTTATTACACTTCTGCAGAAGCTATTTGACTTACCATAGCTCTCAATAAAAAGGATTAAATAAAGCTAACAGTTGCTTGATTAAGTACACACAGTGTGTAGGTCAGCTGAAGTGGCGTGGCTGTGTCCAGCAGCAAATTGGAGATAGTCCAGCTGGGTAATAGGGGTCCTATGGCCTTCCCAAATATGTATAGAAGAGTTGGTGCCTGATTTCTACCCATAGTTGTTAGATACCATGATTACACTAAGATTTCAGGGGGCTTCTACCAAGGACTATTTTATGTGGTGCTATTTCCTAGGGAGGGGAAAGGAACATTTCATTCCTCTAAGAAGCTGTTCATATCTATTAAAAAAAATAAATACTTAAGCTCTCTCCAGCTTTATGATGTACAGAAGAAAATTTTTCCACTTCAGTCTCACCCAACTATAATTCACAGTCAATAGAGCTAGTGGTGATCTACAGTTCCCTTTATCATTAGTCTTTCTCAGCCTTCTGTGCTTGCATAACTTATATTTTGAACCACCATTTTAATGTCACAGCTACCCTGGCTGACCATTACATCTTTTTGTCTGCCCTGAAATTCGTCAAGGCTTAGCTGATGTTTTAATTTTATTATTATTATTATTTTTTAAACAAAAATGGGGCCCTAGAAGTCTCCCAGCATCATGGCTAGCTTGAAAACACAAGTGTCTGTCCAGCAGAAAACATCACTGAGCAAATGAATGAGCTTAGGGTTTGAGGCTGAAGCTGAGTTAACTTGTGTTGGTGCAAGTGCTGCCTGAGGATAGGTTTTGATCATAAATCAGCCACTACGGCAATAGAGGGAACAAGCAACAATAGGAGTAAGAAAAACTGTACAAGTCTGACTTATATTTACAGAATCTTTAATTTTTTATTTAAATGAGAAATAATCTGTTGCCTGCAAGCAGTCCTTCTTGATATGGATGCTCTCAGAAAAGTTAGATGTCTTGGTTTAACAGGTCATTTACAGGTGCCCTTGTCTGAGGCAGCTGATTAATAAAATCAAAACTCAAAATGTTTATGCCCAGGTAGGGAAGGAGAGAGAGAAAAAGAGAAAGACTTGGCTGTATTGAAAACTGAACTACACAGCTTTAATTAAACGTTAATGATATAAGAAAATATATATGCAATTATATACAAGTATGTTTAGATATGTGCAAAAACCTCTCACTTCCTCCCACCTCCAGCGACTCCCACAGCACTCTCCTTAGCTGCAAACAGTCCCAAAAAAATCTCAGAGCTGCCAGAGAAAAGTGGAGAGTGATGAGGGTCAGGAGAACTCGAGCCTGGGGGTCAATGGTGATGGATGGACAGAGTCCTCCCTGGACACTGGCCATGGACAGAAGAGAAGGGAAGATGAAGCAGGAAGGAAGTTGTCTTCTGTGATCTCTGACCTTCCTCTTAGCTTTAGCATTTCATAGAGATATGAAATGGAAAATCTCTGGCCAGTTTTGCTGTCTGTCTAACTCAGCCTCTTACAGGGAGTGGGGGAGGGGGTTTGTCACAGATCTCCCTGTAGTGCCTGAGCCAGCAGAGTAAAGGTGAGACCTTGAAGACCCAGAAGTTAGAAAAACATTCCACTCTTATCAGTGTTAGTTAGAACACACTGTGACTAGTTAAAAGAAAGCTTACTGAAGGAAAAAAAAAATCAGTAAAAGGAAAATTTGCTTCATCCTGGCTTAAACCAGGACACTCTCACAGGACTCTTCATTGCTAAATGAGAAACCTAAATTTTATTTATTTTTTTTGTCTTAAAAATCACATTTTAGCATTTATGCTATACAAATTCTGAATTTCTTATTCTCATGCATGACTCCATTCTTCTGTAATCTGTGTCATGCTGACAAAGGAAATAGTGAATCATTTTAGTTTTATGTATATATGTATGGTGAGTGCATTCTGGTAAATGTGACTCTTCATTGTCTTCTCATCATTAATTTGGTGCGCCCACCAAATAACAGTGTTGCATAATGTGACAGGGACATTATTATAATCTAGTGGCCTATATAATGTTTTCTTTATCTTTTGCTTGCTTTTGCACACATACTGAATGGTAAGGAGTCACTTCTGTGATGATCTATGCCAAGATTCTTTTTTCAAGTGATTTTACTTACTAAATAAAAATAAATTTGGTTGACATAAGTGTGTTCTGTGACTCAATGTACTACATTTGGTTTTCTGCCTGTTCCAATTGTAAATATTGGATACCTCATTACTTTTAAAAAGTAAAACAAAGGGGGTCTTTACAATTGATTACAGTTTCTTTGGGCAGACACTTTGTAGAAACAGAATTGTGTTGTATTGTATAGCTGTACAGATAGAATTACCTATCTTTCATTTGTAGATATTTGACAGGAGCTAACGTGCCATGTAGATTAATGAGTAAAACAGCAGTACCAAAATCTTTTAAATGTCCTGAAAATAATGCATTTTGTTATCTTTTCTCCTCAGGGACCATATCTGTGAACACATTACGTACACCATATACTGCACCTGGGGAAAGTGAAATCCTTGACCTGGATGATGACTTGTATCTTGGAGGTTTACCAGAAAACAAAGCAGGCCTTGTCTTCCCAACAGAGGTGTGGACAGCACTCCTCAATTACGGATACGTCGGCTGCATTAGAGATTTATTTATTGATGGTCAAAGCAAAGATATTCGACAGATGGCTGAAATTCAAAGCACAGCTGGAGTAAAACCCTCATGCTCAAGAGAAACTGCAAAACCTTGCCTTAGCAACCCCTGTAAAAACAATGGTGTATGCAGGGATGGGTGGAACAGATTTGTTTGTGATTGCTCTGGTACAGGGTACCTTGGCAGATCGTGTGAAAGAGGTAGGTTCCATAAGATAGCTGTATTTCTGCTTCATAGCATCCTGCACAATGATTAAAAATGGTAAAATATCATTAACTCTTCAGAGGCAAAAGAGCATGTTTGATTTCACTTGACGTGAGCTGGAGCCCAGCTCTAGTTTGAAGGAAATAACTAGAGATAAGATCTTAGTGGAGTTTTAAAATTATATGAAGAAGTATTACTTGTCTGTGACAGAGTCAGTATTGTTAAATATCTCTTTTAAAATGTCTCCTTTTGTGTCTCATCCTGCATTTCTGAGTTCTGAAAAGCTCTGTGAAAGTAATTTAAATCATTATCATTGCATTACTAAACAGTCACATCCCAGTTCCAAACTGAGGTCTTATTCTGTACCTGCTTATGTCAATACCACTGTGTAATTAAATTTACTTTTGAATTCCACAGTATCACTTAAATCCACAGCTAGAACTTCAGCCATGAATAAAAGCAAAATCATCAGTGTAGCAATCTGTATTTCTTAATTTTTTTAAAAAAGATCGTAGTACCCAATGAAATAGTTTATATTTAACTTATATCACTGAGTATTCCTCTTGCCTAGAAAAGGTAAGTGTAAAGCTGAAAAGCTCTGTTTATTTAGTTTAAAGTGTAGATAGTGGAAAGGACAAAAGATGTAGATGTTAGTTTACAGGAAGAAAACTCAAATGTATTTAAAATTACAGAGTACACTAATAAAAGATTTCAGCGTTACTAGGAAAATAATAAAAAATGTAGTTAATATTTTAGGTGTTTAATTTTATTCTCAATGGAACAGGCAATATTTCAATGACAGAAATTGTATTTTTCCTCTCACAATTGACACAGTAGTTTCTCTTTAAGCTGAAATCTAAACCTAAAGTCTACAAGCTGAAAATGTAAAAACTTTTCATCTAGTTTCATTCATATTTCTAGTTATATATAACAAATATATAACAAATATATTATTTTAAAACAAAAATGGATGAATGTTTAAGTTGTATGTAGAGACACGTATGCATTTATCTGTAATTAATACTGTCATATTATTAGCACTGGCAAGTAAATTTCAGTTTCTTCCGTATTTTTGTTTTCTTTTGGTTTTGTCTTATTTTTTAATATATAGGCCTTTGTCTTATGGCCAGTTATTATCAGATCTCCAGATTGTTCTGTAACTGGTGGAGTGAAGCTGGCAGAGGGCATAACCGAGCTCTGTGATTGATTACCAAAACCTTCAGTTACCATGTCTGGTGTACCACCCTGTGGCAAAATTCTGCTACTACATAGGGCAGAAATAATAGGATTTGCAGGTTTTCTACAGGAGAGCTAGGAAACAAGTGTGTTAAAACCAAAAACACATGCAGATCTGCAAAGGACTTCAGGCTTCATCATAGCAATTACTCATAAATATACTGGACAGCTGGTTATATTTTATATAGAAACATATTTTCTTTTTTGTTTACCATTCTTTATTTTCAGCTGTCTTCCAATACAGGGCTTGATTTTCCCAGTGTCTTCCCCTATTGGGAAAGGTGGTACTATTGTGGTGGTGTTGGCTTCTTTACAATGGTATTTGGTTCTTGTCCAACACAAATAAATGCAGCAATTCAGACAGTATGGAATCATTTCCAGCTCTTGGGTTTCCCTCTCCAGAGGGAACTACAGTGACAGGAGATCTCCTTCCAGTAATTTTCATATCCCAAATGGTGACACATTAATAAGATTTTAGCTCTTGGGATTCTGAAAGTGACAAGTTGGCATCCTACCACACAAAGTTATTATAACTACTACCCATGTGCAGTAACTGATAAACTTTGTATTTGGTCATATAAGCAATACAGTTAGAATTTTCCAAACTAATTTAAATAAAATAAGAACATGTTCATTTTGACAAACAATACAGTTTCACAAAGAAAATAATGTATTAGAATAAAATGTTGGAGATTAAACAACTGGAATATTTAGCTTAATGTTAAGCGACTAAGGTATCTTCAGTAAACAGAAGCATATAGCTACTTTTTTGTTCCATCATTTATTTTTCATGCTATTTCCCCTAAAATAGGAGTACTAACATTTTTTATGGGGATGTATAGTCTACAATGAAGTATCTGAAATAATTTTTGTCAGTTTATCACTGCACAGAAAATATGGAACACAACACACATCTATTTTAATTTTAGGATACTTAATTATTTTTATTTTTATATCCATGTACTTTTTATCCTGTTGCAAGTTATTCTTCATTTTAGACTTGATTTTCAGTAAGGTTAAATATCAGTATTATCTGTAGATTTGTTTTAGTAGATTATGGAAACTACAGCAGATGGACAGGCAGATGTCACAGCAATATAATTTGGCTTCCCATCTTACTTTGATTGTTGATCACAATATGTGACTGCCTCTCAGCAAAGACTTTTACAGGTGTATACTTTTGACTGGATGAGTGGGAACAATGTACAAGAGTAAATTCATCGAAGACTGATATGAAAAAATAGACATGCAAAGAAGGAGTTAACAAAGTGACATTTCTGAGGAGAAAAGATATTTAAATTAGAGCATGTGTGTGTAGATGTCCACGTTGTGTACACACACACATCTGCACTCACACATACATGTTGAATAAAGAAGAACTGCTTTTATTCCTTGCGTTATTGTCAGTTTGCCTCTGAGTTGGCAGTCAAACCAATAACAATAATGTTTTTGAT